TTCCTGGAAGGCCACCTCCCATCTCACATGGCCCCACCCAGGAACCTGGGTCACGCAGGCTACACTGAAGCTGCCCTCTGGTATCCTGGAGACCTCTGACTGGCTACCCTCAGGGGGGGATTGTCGCCACCTGCTTCTGGCGCCGCCTGGGCTCCTCTCCGACCTCCGTGGACAGGTGCCCCTCTGCTGATGTCTGAGCTGTTGCAAAGCCCTCAGGGACTGGCCTGCCTGGCCTCCAGTGCACCTCTGGGGCCTATATCCTGATTGGAGGTGGTCAGGCTGAGGCTAGGAGTGCCCAGAGGTCCGCACCGTGGCCTCCTTCCCTGGGCTGTGGTACCCCTGCTGTAGCCTGCTGGCCACGAAGGGTGCAAGGAGCTGAATGCGGCTGGGCTTGCTCCTGTTCCTCTCAGGAGCCTGTACTGAAGGCTTCTGTACCCTTTACATACCTATCTTGGTATGGTATGGGCCATTTCCTTCTGGAAGTTTCCATATGTCCACTCATTTTTTAAATTACATTCTTTTTCTCTCACTCTAACCAAGTAAGATACAGCTCAAGATTCTGCCTCCTCCAGGCAGCCCTCCCAGCATTCACTGGGCCCTTAGATTCCCCAGCTTTTAGAAAGCCACAGAACCCGCCATACCACCACACCCAGGCTCCCTTCCCACTCCCATGCCCCCTCTTCTGGTGCCACGAGCTGGACCCTCGGCAGGCTCTGAGGTCGTCAGTGTTGGAGGTTAGCATCTGCAGCCCTGGTGCCCCCGGGGGTACTGAGTGTGTAGACTCTGAGAGGTCCTCCAGGAGGTCCCCTCTGGCAGCTCCCTGTGTACTCACTGTGGCACTGGGGCTCCTCCCCATCTCTTAGGCCCTGCGCCTGGGAGCCTGGCACCCTGAACAGGTCCCACCAGGTGAACGCAGACCAGCGTGTGGATGACACATGGTGCCATCTATGTGCACAGCCCTCGTGCCTGTGTACACAGGCAGTGGCTATATGTCGGGCTTCGGAGGCCCCTGCAGCTGCCACTCCAAAGCTGGCACCTGCTCCTCCTGCTGAGTTGAGAAGGCAGGAGGTGAATACAGCTGGAGCTGATGCCTCCAGTGACCAGTCCCTGGGTGATGACCCTCGGCAGGGGGGCACAGGGCGGGAGCACATCACCTCGTTACTTTCCCTTCTGATGCTGCTGGAACACGGCTCCCCCAAGGTCTTGTTGGGGACAGGATTGGGGCCATTATGCAGAGGGGGTCGAGTTTGGTTGAATGGCCAGCCTGGAATTGATGCCAGGACACTAGGCTCCACTGGACACTAGTGGGTGGGCTTTTGCCACCCCTTCTCCAGGCATCCAGGGGAGTCCCAGGTCATCACATTCTCTGTTCCTCTGAGTGTTGAGCGGAGAGAATGCTTCAGCCAGGCCACATGTGCACCTCATGGCGTGTGTGTGGGGCACAGGCAGATGTGCCCACCACCCCCCTTGCTGCGGGGACTGAAGAGGAAGTGGGGTTGTCACTTCCCCTGTCAACAGGGAGACTTTGTTTGTTGGTTGTGGCAACCTTGTGGGGAGCTACTGGGGAGAGCCATCCCCAGGCGTGAGAGCTGAGGAGCACAGAGGTCCAAGCAGGCAGATCTGGGCAGGAGAGCAGGGCCCTCCTGCTGTGAAGACAAGGGTCGCTGACCTTCCCCAGACTGGAGAGGGATGACTCTCCCAGACTTTGTCCTGCTGGCCTGGCAGACCTGGTTCCAGTCAAAATGGTTAACCCCTTTCTGGCTGTCCTGTGACAGCCACTCATCCAGCTAGCAGGTGCAGGCCTTCCATTCACCCTCCTATGGCAGAGGCCTGGAGTCCTCAGGGCTCCAGCCTTAGGAATGTCCAGCTTTGAGAGTGTCCCTGCAGGAGGGCACCATGCCTGACATGCCGGCTTCACTGAGCAGACACCCCTGCCCCTTCCCCTGGGGAAGGCTCCCCAGCGTATCTGGGAGCCCCCATGGGCAGGCACCCAGCACAGGGATCCCCAGAAGAGGTGAGAGAATGTGCAGTGTGCCCCTGGTCGTTGGTCCATGCTGGCTCCCCAGGGAGTAAAGCACAAGTCACAGCGTGTGGCAGCATGACTCCAGAGGATGTTGGTTTCCACTTGCATAGCACAGGTTAGAGTTTGAACGGAGTGTGGTCATCACTCGTGGTGTGGGACTTGTGTCCAGGCCAGCGGCATGGCTACAGGCTTGAGGACAACACAGTGTGGCCTGAGGCATCCTCAGCTGGGCATCAGACCCCTGTGCCTGGGTGGCCCCATGCAGGGTTGAAGGGCATTCTCTCTGCACCATCCCTGCATGCCCTCCTATTCCCTCCCCCGCCCACAGCACCTGCCCTGGGATGTCTGGATGTGGGAGCTCAGCCTCCCCTGGTCAAGAGTCTGAAAACAGGCTCGGCGCCTATAGCTCAACCGGCTAAGGCGCCAGCCACGTACACCTAAGGTGGCGGGTTCGAATCCCCAGCCCGGACCCGCCAAACAACAATGACGGCTGCAACCAAAAAATAGCCGGGCGTTGTGGCGGGCGCCTGTGGTCCCAGCTACTTGGGAGGCGGAGGCAGGAGACTCGCTTGAGCCCAGGAGTTGGAGGTTGCTGTGAGCTGTAATGCCACGGCACTCTGCCCAGGGGGACAGCTTGAGGCTCTGTCTCAAAAAAAAAAAAAAAAAAAAAAAAAAAAAAAGAGTCTGAAAACAAAGCACTGGTTTCCTGACATGGGCTCAGGAGGGCTGACTTGGTATTCTTCCCTGGAGGGCCTGGGCCTGCTACCACTGGCTCCCATGACCCCTCACAGGGACCCAGGCCAGAGCTCCCCAGTAGGCTGTCCTGTGGGGCAGGAGCCCCTACTTGGGGCCTCTGAGGGTGAGTTTGGGCCTGGTTTTTTCCTGGGATCAATGTGGTCCACTGGTCATTACAGCATCTGCATGAACTCTGGGGTGGTGGGATGGATTCAGGGGCTAAAAGAAGCCCTCAGCAGAGGAGGATTCCCCTACTAGAGAGTGGGCCATTGGGCCACCAGGCTCCCTCCTGTGGTTCCCTGGATAGGGTGTGATACAGAAGAGGGTTGGGCAACATTCACTGTCAGTGCCCAAGGTAGGGCCATAGAAGGCTCACTCTTCTGACCAGGGTGCCGGGTGTTTGGATGAGAACTGGAAGGAGGGCACCTGTCCCTCCGAATGCCAGCTAAATAGCATTTGTGCCTCTGACCCGCCTTCAGGCTGACTGTAGCACCGTGTGTGGCTGTGCCCAGGGCCTGGCTGGTGCTCCTTTGTTTCTGCGTGTGAGCTCAGCTGCTGTGCTGAGGAAGTGAAAGCTCAGGTCCATGTATCATGCAGAAGCTGTGGCCTGGGGGGGCTCCCAACCTGGACTTGTTTGCTCTGGCCACTCAGGATGTTAACGGAGCTCCAAGTGTGGGTCTTGGGTTAAGCCTCCTCTTGCTCCTGGAGACAGTGGTCTTGGAACCGAGCACAGCTCTCAGGAGTTGGGGGCTTGCTCTCCCACCTGCCCTGTGCAGTGTCTTCATACCTATCACACACCTCGGGAACAAGTTTGTCATAGCTCAGCACACAGGCACACAAATGTTTGTGCCCACGTATGCACACAAAACAGCTGTGCACACAGAATGCCACGTTGGGCCATGCCTGCCCTCACCTGGCTGCCACCTGCTTCTGTCTCGTTGTAACACATAGGCCTGAAGTGCCTCCCACCCCCAGGGTACCATTCTTATCCTGACTGCCACTGTGGCAGGGCTGCAAGGCTCACCTGGGCTTAGCACTCCCCTTGCCCATAACTCCCAGGCTGAGTCTCCCACTGGAATTCTCCCGGATGCAAGGTCCCGTGTGTCCTGCCACCAGAGTGGCTTCTCTGCCCGGATCTCAGGTGCTCCTGGGCTTAACTCATGAGATGCCTGAGTCCATGGCCTGGTGTTCACCCCACACTTCCACCATGTCCCTGGTCCCAGCCTGGAGGCCAGTGTGGTACCCTCTGGCTTCCCATGGCCTCCTGGCAGGTCCCTAGGGTATGTCTCATCCACCCTGAGCAGCCAAGAGGATTGTTAAACATGGTCCCTGACACCATCCTCCCCTATTGCTGCATCCACTCTCCAGCTCATGGCTCTGCTGTCTCCACAGTGCCTGCCTTCCGTCCAGGAAAGCCCTGTCCTTAGGGCCGGCAAATGGAACCAGGTCCCACAGCAGTCAGGGGCTTTCTCATCCTTAAGCTGTCCTACATGGTGGGCTGAGTGGTGGGGCCTCTGAGCTTCCTCCCATGCTGGGGAGAATCAGTCTCACGTGGTACCTGAGTCCGGGAGACCAGGCTGCAACAGGCTCCTTTCAGCCCCTCGGGGTCCTGGCTGCTGGGTGGCTGTTGACAGGCAGTGTGTGTTATGCCGGCAGAATTCTCGTCTGGCTGTTTGTGTGTGCCTGTTTGGACGCCTTGTAATTAAAACATTTATTTGGCCTTCACAGTGAAATCTAATTTCTTGAGTCTGAGAGCTGCTGGTATTGGCACGGAGACACCAGTCCATCGGGCAAACAGACCGGGCCCGTGGGATTATTCATAGCTGGGTGTTTGCAAATCAGGCCCAGCGCCCACTAATCAGAGCTGAGGCTTGGTAATTGATGTGTTGGGTTAGGATTTTAGTGGGAGGGGGCCCCTAGCGCTGCTGAGTGATTGTGTGTGGCCGGCAGGGGACCCTTTGGGGCTGACTCAGCCTGCCAGTGGGTAGCAGCACCTTGGCAGCGAGTGTGAGTGCCGTGTGCATGGCTGTGCGTGTGTTCTGCAGACGAGTCGACACACTCCCGTCCTTCATTCTCATCGTACAGATGGGAAAGTGGGCTCGGAAGGGCGTCCCATGGGGCATAGGTGGGGTTTGGCCTCAGGGTCTGCAGTCTGAGGCCTGGGGGATGATACCATGTGGGTTTTCTCTGGTGGCCTCTGGGCGGCCTGTGCCAGTAACACCTGTGTTCTTGCTCCCTGCAGACCATTATGGAGCAATTCAACCCCAGCCTGCGGAACTTCATCGCCATGGGGAAGAACTACGAGAAGGCCCTAGCAGGTAGGGCTGGCGGTCTCGGGCCCAGGGGGGAGCCACCTGTGCTGGGCGCCAGTCCTGGGTCAGCGGATGGACTTTGGCTTGGCCCGTGGGGCCTGAGCAGAAGGAGGCCTTTTGTTCCAGAAATAGAACCCAAGAGAGGTGCTAAGTGCAGGTGCAGCCTGTGAGCTCCAAAGCTGTCTCTGCTATCACAGGGACAGCACACTCCTGGCTGTGCGGCCCGACCTGCCCTGTGGCTGTGAGGACCACTGCTACTCAGTACCTAGAGATAAGGTGTGAGGAGTGTGTGGAAGCTGCGGGGTCCTTGGTACCTGCTCTGGCTTTGGGTTGGGCCCACGGTGGCTCCTGAGGAGCAAGCACCCTGTGGTTCATGCTCCCACATAGCCTGGGAGAGGGCACAGGGGGGCTTAGGACCACAGGGCTCCACCTGTCTGCTCATGGTTTGAGACCCCCTCCACCCCTGCTTTCCCAGTTCAGGGAAGGACATTAGGTCCACTGTCAGGGCTGTGGTTGGGGACCTACTGTTGGTGGGCCCTGATCCTGCCCTCCTATGGCCTTGCCCATGTCTGTCCTGTCCAGGCAGGGTATTGAGCTGTCTGTCCAACAGCAGTGGCATTATAAGCAGAGCCCAGCTCCACCACCCCCTTGTAGGGAGGAAATTGCCCATCCACAGTGTGCCCCCCTCTCTGCCAGCTGCCCTGTGTCCTCCACAGCTACAGGGTAGCCTGCTGTACACATGTGGGTAGAGTCTGTTGTCTGATTTGAGGTGTCAGACTTTGTTACATGGGGCCCAGGTTGGAGGTGGCAAGGAAGGGTAGAGTTAGCTCTTGCACTTCCACCAGCCTGGCCCTGTTGTCCCTGGGGAACAAAGTGTCCCAACTGGGCACCTGGCAGGAGGGCTGTCCCAGGCCAGGTCTCCAGGCAGGGCTGCCTGCCCTCCAGTGAAGAATGGAGGGTCCTCCTGCCACGGAGAGTGCTTCTGTCGGGCATTCCTACCAGGCAGCCTCCTGTGCCCTGGTCTGTCCTTCTGAGGGCTTCTGGGGCAGGGCTGGCCCTGCAGTAGGGGTGGCAGTGGGCCCCCACATAGACAGTGTCCATCACGAGCCATGGCAGAGAGCAGCCTGCCCTTCTGAGAACATGGGGGACCATATTTCTCTGTCCCTGGCCTGGCCAGCAGCTCTGGGTAAGCTCGTGTTTCCACATGGGGAACTCCCAGGGCTGCCCCTGCCTGCAGCGCCCGTAGCAGGGGTTCAGCAGCAGGGTCCCAGGGACCACTGCTGTCTCTTCACCTGCCTGCCAGGCCACTGGTAATACAACCCCCAGAGTCCTAGCACAGGAAGCTCACTGGCTCATGGGGACAGTTCTCTCCCATCAGAATTGCCTTAAGGGGTGAACCAGCACGTAGGTTCTTAAGGACAACCCAGACCTCCCGGCTGCAGTGGATACCTTGTCCCCAGCCAGGGCAGGATCACCTGGGTGTGGCAATGGGAGTTGGGAGAGTCCTGGGAGGACTCTCCTGCCAGAAGTTGCGTTTGAATAACTCCCTGCTGTGCCGCCCAGCTTGCAGGTGGCTGTTCTGTGTCCCAGGGGAGTTGACTCTGCCTTTGGCTGAGGGGTTGGTGACTGGGAAGAGGCTCTGAATGGAAGAAGCAGGTGGAGGTGTGGCCGGGTCGGTGCAGAGGGTCTCGACTTTGGCATTCCTGTGAGCTCCAGGCACAGCACACAGCCATCTGCTCCTCCCAGGAGAGCTGATGTCAATGATGTCAGCATTTATCTGCCCAGTTGGGTCTGACCTCCCTCCACACAGGAGAGGATGGTGGCAGGCATTCTGCATGTTTCAGACCCAGGCAGAGCAATGGAATTCCAGCCTGTCCCTGTCTGGCTTCCTGAGGCTGAGGCCCGGTTCCCTCTGGCCTTCCCCATCCCCTCAGGGTGTCTGGGAGGTTGTGCAGCTGAGTGTGGCGGAGACGGGCGGTGTACTTCCTCCTCCTGTTTGCCTCTGTTCTCAGAGGAGCTCGCAGCTGTCCAGGCCACTGTGTTCCCTTCACTTATTTTAGGAAGCCCACCCCTTCCAGCAGCAGCAGCACTCCAGTCCTCTGGGACATGGTGTTATGTAGCAGGACAAATCGTGTGCCCTTAATTGAAGACTGTGTGAATAAAATCTGGTAGCGTGTCCAGTTATAAACCCTTAACTGGTTCTGTAGAAAGCAGATTAGAAAGTATAGTTGCACCGCTGGTGGCTGCCCCCAGGCTCTGCTGTCTCTGGGACACCACCTCCTGTGGCCTGATGGTGGGCAGGGCCCTGGACGGAGGAGGTGGCCCAGCCAGCTCTTCCTGTGTTTGCTGTGGCCCATGTGACTGCTGGGGCAGGGGTCAGTGGCTCTGAGCATCCCTCCCTGCTTGCAATTAGAGCAGAGTTTGTGGTCTAGGGTGCCGGTGCCCCGGGATGCCACCCCCAGCTGTGGACTAGGAAATGGAGGGAGTGTTCTCAGGTTTGGCTCTGCTGCCTCTGGGCTTCCCTGTTGCCTTGCCAGGGTGGTGTTTTGTCCCCTGAAGTGCCACTGTGGTGAGCACTCCCTCCACTCCCCTCAGATGAAAGGAGCTTCATGACTACATGACATGATAGTGCCAGCCGCAGGCAGGGCTACATCAGCCAGAAACAGGGCACAGTACTCTCCAAGCGCGTTCAGGCACAGGTCGGGGCTGGGCGTGCTGTGGGAGTCTGTTAGTCCCTAGGGAAGGATGTGACCACCCCTGCTTTTCTCTCCCAGGCGTGACGTATGCTGCCAAAGGCTACTTTGATGCCCTGGTGAAGATGGGGGAGCTGGCCAGCGAGAGCCAGGGCTCCAAAGAACTCGGTAAGACCCCAGACTCTGTGAGCCTTCTGGACACCCCTGAAGTTGTCTGACGTACTCAGGCGGGTTTGGGGGCCTGTCCTGCGTCTGGTCCTTGTCTGATTTTTTTTTTTTTTTTTTTTTGAGACAGTCTCAAAAGCATCATAGCTCACAGCAACCTCAAACTCTTGGGCTCAAGCAATCCTCTTGCCTCACCTTTCCAAGTAGCTGGGACTACAGGTGCCCACCACACGCCTGGCTATTTTTAGAGATAAGGTCTCTCCCTGGCTCAGGCTGGTCTTGATCTCATGAGCTCAGGCAATCCACCCGCCTCGGCCTCCCACAGTGCTGGGATTACAGGTGGGAGCCACTGCGTCTGGCCAGCAGCTCTGGGTAAGCTAGTGTTTCCACGTGGGGATCCTGATTTGGGATCAGGTTTTACCTGTCAAAGAAAAGATTTGGTAAAATGCCAATAACTGTGAGAGCTGAGATGGGGTGCCCCCTGCTGAGATGGGGTACCCAGGCATCCTTGGAACAGTGCTCAGAGCTCACACTAGGGAGTCCTGTCCCGGAGGAGCGAGGCCCGGGTGAGGACATGGAACAAGTCCACGTCTGAAGGTGTTCAGAGCCCGCCATAGGGGATGTGTGCAAAAGTTACTTGGATGATGGTATTTGATGACATGGGCGGGGGGGGGGGGGGTTCCTGACGTAGAAATCAGTAAAAATGGAGCAAGGTGTTGTGGCTCCTCTGAAGGCTGATGCAAGAGGGTCACTTGAGTGCAGAAGGTCAAGACCAGCCTGGGCAATATAGCGAGACCTAGCTCTTAAAGAAAAGTGAGAAGGGTACAGACCCACAGTGTGGGGTGACCCCAGTCTTGTTTACGTGCCTCGCGTGTACCCACGTCTTGAGAGAGACCCCAGAGGCGTTAACAGGTGGAGTTCCTGCATGGATTGTTCCTCCTCCCTTTCCCTTCCCTTCTCTTCTTTTTGAGACAGGGCCTCACTCTGTCACCCAGGCTTGAGTGCAGTGATGTCGTCACAGCTCACTTCAGCTTCAAACTCCTGGGCTCAAGCCCTCCTCCTGCCTCAGCCTCTGGATAGCTGGGACTACTGGAGCCTAGCGGAGGTTTTTAGTTTTCTTGTAAAGACAAGCACAGTCCATGTTCTGTGGCCCCTGATCTAGGGTGGTGGTGCCATATGGCTGAGATCTTCTTGGCCTGTCAGGGAGACCTGGGGGCTCACCTGCTGCTGCCAGGCAGATTATGGCTGAGCAGCCTTTGCCGGGGGTGGGGGGTGGGGACTGGAACCTGTGGGGAGACCACTTGGATTCCTCTGCCCTTTGGTCACAAAGGATAGGACTTCCTTGTTCACAAAGCCTCCCTGCAGCCACTGTCCCAGGTGGACTGCGCATCTGGGAGCCCCTCCCCTTCTGCTGTCCCCCCTGCCCACCTGCCTTGCCCAGCCGTCCAGGTTCTGGGTTTCTTTCATGTCTGTCAATTCAACTCCCCTGGCTGTGACTCGAGCAGAGACCCTCTGAACTGTCCTCATTTTCATGCATCTCAGTGTCCTGCAGCGGATATGGCCAGTGGGCTGTGGGCTGTGCGTGCCTCTGCACCCCTCCTTTGGGATGTAGAGGACAAGCCCAGGTGTTCCGGGCAGGTGCGGTAAGCACCACTCGCTCCCTGGGGCAGGCCAGCTGGGGCGTGTGCCTGGGTCTTGTGACTCTGTGAGCCATGTTGTGTTGACAGAGGAAACCATGGGACCGACCAGGGCCAGAGAGGAGGGTGGGGTCACTGGTCATCCAGCTGTAGTCAGGGAGGAGGGTGGGGTCACTGGGTGTCCAGCTACAGTCAGGTGCTTGGGCTTAGCCTGGCTGCTGAGGGGTGGATGTTAGGGTCCTGCAGGCCAGACTCTGTTGTGAATAGTGGCTTGTAGGGGCCTGCCCTGAGCACCTGGCCTTCTCCCTCCACAGAGGGAAGCTGTGTGCATGAGCTGTGTGTGTGAAAGGGAGGACCAGGTGCCTCTCCCTGGGGTCACACACCATAGGGCCAGGGTCTGCCAGGGAAGCATCAAGTCCCACAGTGGGAGGGTGGGCGTGTCTGACACTGCAGGAGATTCTAGAACTGTCCAATGGCAGGGGAGGAGAGGTGTGGGGAGGGCGGGAGAGCCTGAGGCTCTGACTTGAGCCAGGTCCCTGAATTGGTGTGGGTTTCTGTGGTCTTCCACAGGGCAGTAGAGCCCCTTCTGAGTGACTGCAGGGGCGGCCCCCCAGATGCCAGCCTTGCCCCAGGAGTGGGAGATTTTTCTTTTGGTGACGGCTATATTGACTTAATTCATGTGCTGCACCATTGCCCATTCTGGGTATAGAATTCAGCAGTTTTCAGCGTGTTCAGAGTTTGCAATCATTACCATGCTCTAACTCCAAAATGTTTTCCATCACCCCAAAAGGAAACCAGCACCCCTTAGTGGTTACTCCCTAGTCCCCACGTCCCCGCCCTGCAGCCCTAATCTGTGCCTGTCCCTGTGGGTCTCCCCATTCTGGGTGTTTCCTGTGAACAGCCTGATGCAGGCCTGGCCTTTGTGTTGTGGGTCCTCTTCCTGATGTGCGGGGCCAGGGCTTAGCTCCTGTTCACGGCACAGTAATACTCCTCATGTGAACAGAATCGTTTATCCGCCTCTGTCAGTGACGTCCATGGCCATTGTGAATAATGCTCCCATAGATGTTTACACACGATGCCTGTCATTTATCCTAGGCATGTATCTAGGAGTGGAATTGCTGGGTTGGGGGTGAGTGTCAAGCTGAATTCTTACCAAGCCCCCCATGGTTCAGAGACAAGTTGGTTCTCCCCCCTCCTTGCTGTGCTGGGACCCATGATCACAGCTCACTGCAGCCTCCAACTGCAGCTGCCTCCCCAAGGCAGCTCCACCTGCCACTGTCTCAGAGTTTGCTTCCTCATGTCTGAAAAGGCCACTTTGTGCTAGAAATCTCTCCACCTCTTACAGTTTTAGAGATTGTCTGGTAAATTCTTGTGGAAGGTTCCGATTTGGCTTTCTTGTCCTGTCTACTTGTCCTACCCAATAGAATTATTTATACTTTTGGCTTAAATCAGTGTACGGCGTTTGTACTCCTGTGACAATGATATAAATCTTTTTCAGGCTAAGACATGTAGAGTATTATGATGACTTTTTTCTTTCTTTCTTTTTTTTTTTTTTTTTTTGAGTCAGAGTTTCCCTTGGTAGAGTGCTCTGGCATTACACCTCACAGAAACCTCCAACTCTTGGGCTTAAGCGATTGATTCTCTTGCCTCAGCCTCCCAAGTAGCTGGGACTATAGGCACCTGCCATAATGCCTGTCTAGTTTTTCTATTTTTAGTAGAGATGAGTTCTTGCTCTTGCTCAGGCTGGTCTCAAACTCCTGAGCTCAGGTGATCCACTCACCTCAGCCTCCCAGAGTGCTGGGATTACAGGTATGAGGCACCACTCCCGGCCTGATGACTTTTTTTTTTTTTGCAGTTTTTGGCCAGGGCTGGGTTTCAACCTGCCACCTCTGGCATATAGGGCCAGCACCCTGCTCCTTTGAGCCATAGGTGCTGCCCCCAAGAGACTAGTGTATGGTTTTTGTTTTTTTTTTTGGCTGGGACTGGGTTTAAACCCACTACCTCCGGCATATGGGGCCAGCGCCCTGCTCCTTTGAGCCACAGGCGCCACCCCTGGCCTGATGACATATTTTTTTTTTTTTTTTTGCAGTTTTTGGCTGGGGTCAGGTTTGAACCCACCACCTCCAGTATATGGGGCCAGCGCCCTACTTCTTGAGACATAGGTGCTGCCCGGCCTGATGACTTTTTAACGGCCTTTTTTGAGGGATAACCAAAGTACAGTAAACTGCACGTTATTTAAGCTTATAACATGGCTGGATATGATGGCTTCAGGCCTGTAGTCTCTGCGCTTTGGGCGGCCAAGGCAGGAGGATGGCTTGAACCCAGGAGTTGGAGGCTGCAGTGAGCTGTGATGATGCGATGGTCCATGACGCCAGGCCAGGGATCAGAGTAAGACCCTGTCTCTTAAAAACAAATAAGCAAAAAAGTGTGTAAGGAGACAGGTTTCGACATGTGCACACACCTGTGGAGATGTTGCCACCATCACACAGTGAGCTTCCTGGTTCCTGGCCCCTCCCTCCCATCCATCCCTCCCATCTGCAGGTACTGCTGACCGGTGTCTGTCACTGATGAGTGAAGGGCTGCTGGGGTTTCACATAAGTGGAAGCACGTGGTTTGCATTATTTTTTGGTCTGGCTCCTTACGGGTCTGCGTAATTGTAAGATTTGTCCGTGTTCTGTGTGCTGAGCGCCCTTCTAGGTTGGGTGCACCCCCGTCTGGTCATCTGCTGAGGGGGTTCTGGGGCGTTGTCCGATTCGCAGTCTCTGATTACCTAGAGATGCCGAGCGTCTTTTCCTGCCTTATTTGTTTTTCTTTAGTGAAATGTCTGCTACAGTCTTTCCTTTTTTTATTTTATTTGTGTTTGTGCTTTAACTGACTTAATGAGTTGTATACCTTAGATGGATAGAAGTCCTCTATTGGGTGTATATCTTGCAAATAATTTTTTTCTAATCTGGTTGGGCTTTCATTTTTATAATAGTGTTTGCTCATTTGGTTCTTATAAAGACTAGGTCTCACTGTAGTTCAGGCTGGTCTCGAACTCCTGAGCTCAGGTAATCCACCCGCCTCAGCCTCCCAGAATGCTGGGATTAGAGGCATGAGCCACCGCACCCGGCCCCTGTTTTTATTTTTATTTTTTAAGAGATGTGTCTCCTTTGTCACTGAGGCTGCCACTGGGTCATCCTAGCTCACCGTAGCCTGGAAGCCCTGGGCTCAAGCAATTTACCACCTTGGCCTCTGAGAGCGCTGGGATTACAGGCCTGAGACCTCACACTCGGCTCTGAAATAGTGTTTTTAGAACAAAAGTATTTAATTTTAACGAATAAGTCCAGTTGACTGGCTGTGTGTTCTTGTTCCTCGGTTTCGTTG